TAAGCATTGTAATTAGCTGGTCAGCTGCAGAATATCAAACATCATGTAATATAGCTGCAGAATATCTCTCTCTGGTTCAGTTAAAAGTACCGTAAATCTGTTTGAATCAACCCCTATGGTTGGGACTGCTTGTGATCGGCAGGCTGTTGTAATGTTTATCGTCATTGTGTAAAATTAATGAACTGGTGCAAAATCCATGTGCTGAGTTACTGCCATGTCAGGTGCCAAGGAGATAGTTTGTACACAAAGGAAGGCTGTTCAGTTGAAAACTGAAAAATACATTTTACACGGATAAGGGTCATAAAGTGTTGATATTTCTTTGTGTATGGATACTTTGTATAAAATGTTGCCTCGACTTTCCCTCTGTCACTTACCTCGCCTGGGTCAATGTTCGATTGAGCTAGATGAACATCACTATGTCATATTCTAAATTTGTTCTATTGAAAAAAATTGACAGGCCTACTACTCACCAATTGTAACGTCTGGATTGAAACAAAAATGTACCAATGGCATTTTTGGCACACACCATCCCCAAACGATTAGCCAACCATGACTCGGCAGACGCATTATGAGATGACGAAATGAATGCAATTGGATCAGATATTGATTTCAATGTGATTTTGAATCCGGCACTCAGTGGGTTGATCATTTTGGTGTTCATTGACTGTTGTTACTTGTTCTCAAAGATTGCATTCATTTTTATCAGCTGTAAACTATTCATTCTTTTGGCTTTCACCTTTTATATTAGAAGATTTATCATTTAGTATTTATTTTTATAAATATAATATTAATACATTATTGGTCACTCAATGTTAAGTCATGCAATCATTGGCTCATTACCACTTGTCATAGCTAGCTGAGCAAAAATATAGCTATATTGTTTTCACAGACTCCATTCATTAATCCCACATTTATACATTTAACGGATTAAAAATGTCCTTTTATTTCCCTGAAATTCCTGTAATTACAAAGACAACAAGAATGAGAGCAATGGTTATCAGATTGAGAGAAACTGAACAAACCAGCACAGCTAATGCAAATGCATGTGATTGTAAATATGGCAAAAGAAAGAAACAAGACTTAATTTTTGATTGTTTCATAGCATTTTTATTATATCAATGTCAAATACCTCTCCAGCTCAAGAGAGACAGTGATGTCACCTGGTCATGTTGTTTTCCTGCAGTCCTTACCTGCAGGCTGTTTGCTGTGTGTGAGGGCTGCAGTACTGTACAATGACTGACACACACAAATAATAATGAGAATTGGTTTGTTCTCTTCTCAAGTGAGTCTGGGGTAATGCCAGTCACAGAGCCAGCTTTTTTGATCAGCTTATTGATCTTATTTTAATCACCCACACACTGTTACTACAAACCCATGGACAGCTCTCAGCACTGAGTTTTATGTTACCATCACTCATTTCTTCATTCAGAACTTGGATTTGAAGACCGCTGTCCTACAGACACACAGTACTGATGAGTGACACACTGAAAAAAACATATAGGACCACCGGGAGGTCTGTATTTTCATAAAAAAACAAAAACCAGTGACTACTGGAGCAATTTTAAAATTACTTTAGTTTCTCTTCATTGTGAGCGAACGTCACATATCGCCTGTAGCTTCCTCAGGTTCGCCCAGCATAAGTATATGGGCACACGGGTGTGATAAATACATATGGTCACATGACTAATCATAACAATATAGATTATTTCAGGTCATAGCCTCAATCGAGAACTATAGTGTGGATCAAACAACATGAAATAATTCATATAATCCACATAGTATATCAATATGAGCTTTGTTGTTGGTTTACCCTTCGAGGCTCCGCCTTTGTGAAGTTGAAGTCCCTGATGGGAGTGAACAATTACTAATAATGATGGTGCAGCTTCATATTACATTAAGTTGTACTCGTTACTAAATAAAACAGGGAGTTCAGGTTTATCTAAATTGTTGCATTATTATACGCATTTATAATATTAATTTGATGGTTTTTATGAGTGTTTGTTTTGTATTTAAATGCGCCTTTGCCCATACAATGTAGTTTGTAGTCAACAAGGTTTCCCTGGGACAGCAGAGGGATGTGATGCCATGAAAGTCTTACCAACATTTTGGGGCAGATTGGGCTAATCTATTCAGTTCATAGGTATTTATTTAATTCTGTTTAACAAACTTCCTTTATTCAGCTTTTGTTTTCCACTTACACTTCACACATACACACACACACACCACACACATACACACACATGATCAGAAGATGCAGTAGAAGTTTGCAGTAAAGGAAAGTGGATTTTTGATCAGGAAGGGTAAAGAAATGCTGCTTAGTTGGTCAGCTAGCTTCGTATTGCTTCCCAGCTCACACTATCTGTCTGTAGTTTCACTGTTGACTTTGTTGATTGGGTTTATCAAGGCTATCATTCCTGGGAATTTTTTCTCTCCATGGCTCATTGATAATGAAGTGTGAGAACCATCAGGTAGAAAGGATCCAGAAAAACTTTTCACTGGTCAATCATAAGAATATTATTTCCAAAATTGTATTGGGGAATTGGTGACCCTTGCATGCGTGCGTGTGTGTGTGGGGGGGTGTCTCAAAATGGCATAATAGGAGACAAGCTGTCCCAATTCTGGCAAGATCATTGTGTCTGGCATTACGACAGCATGCATGGGAAACTCTTCAAATTTGGGAGAAAATATCTTTCCTGTCTCTGCTTTCTTACTTCCATCTTATCCCTCCCTCTGTATAATTCACTTTTTCTACCCCTTCCTCCTTCCATTTACTGTACTCTTGCTTATGAATTTTGCAGATGTTTTCTTGCTGCTTCAGTAGATGCTAGTATCCTGACAAAACCATATGGTGCATTACACTGATTTACTGGACAGCAATCAAATTGGATGTTTTTTGGTTGCCTTTTTCAAAGCAGTACAAATATGTATCAGTATTCTACATTGACTACAATGTGAAATTGTGTGCGTGATTTTCATGTGTAGCTTCCTGGCAAGTGAGTCTGTTCAGTATAGAAATAGTCCCAAAATAGAACAGTATTTTCTGTGGTCTCTTATTCTGCAGCAGTCGTCTGACACATCTGATACTTTATTACTGTGGAGGTTGTGCACTTGCACACATAGAGGACTGTGTGTGTGCGTGAGCACGTGTTTGTGTGCATGTGTTTGGGTGTGTGTGTGTGTGTGTGTGTGTGTGCGTGCTTGTTGGGATTATGGATTTCACAGTAGTTTATGTTTGGTATCCCCATGTCTAATGGACTCTGTCTGTTAGCCAGGCTTTATGGAATTAGCTTGTCCTCACTCTCTAAGCAGACCAGTTCAAAAACTAGACTTAGAATACACTACACTTAAATTAAACATGTGAGTTCAACAATTGTACACTGCAAGAAAACATCAACATCAAATTGGATTAAAATCTGAATTTGAGTGACACTGTGATAACCTAGAGGCAGGAAGTAACAAGATTGCTGAGTGCACTTCCTTGTAATGCAATGACTGTTTTGTGAAGACATTGTTGCCATTTCCTTGAAATCAGCTGACCTCAGTTTTGAAAAAAAGAGCTTTATTCTACAGTGGGGGTATGCATCACATTTTACATACTTAAACAGAAGAGACCATGAATATAAAAGTTTAAACAGTGAAAATTGTACAACCATTACTTAGGATTAATGATAGTTTTGGTTAGTTGATCACACACTCTTAACAGTCTTTCATTTGACTACCATATCATATTGATTAATAAAGACCCAGATACACCACACTTTAAGCTGGCAAGTAGGGTCAGCATAGTGTGTGTGAAGACCACTTGAGCCATGTGTCTCTGGCAGCTTTAAGGCCACACAATAGCCAATTTGTTTGGCTATTGTGGTGGGTAGATAGTTGGGCTTTGTTATCTTCTTCAAGACTCATTTCTGTCTGCCTTCATATGCAGCCGCCCCAAGACTAGGTGATTTCAGGCTGGCCTTTCATATTTGGCAAGATAGGTGGCAAGCCTTCTTCAGGAGAACGTGAAGACTATTACATAGCGCCGTAAATCTGGCCATGGGATATACATCATGATACAGGGTTGATTAATACATATTGCAATACTGTTCAGAAGAAATGTATGACATTTATAAAATCTTAGTTTAAAGGAAGAATATGCAACTTTTTGATCCAGTAGATGTCGCCCTTGATCACCAGCATGAAACCAAAACAACTCACGCTGCATTGTTGTGTTAGCATGCTAATGCTAGCGATAATTTTTTTGCTTGTATCTTCACACTGCATGTAAATTTACACGAAATGACCGTGATCTAAAGACATTCAAATAAGCAGTGAGTACAGTATGTTATTCTTCTTTTCTCTAGTCCCTCAGTTAAACAACTTTTATACGCAAGGTAATGAGCCGGCCGGCCGTCCAAGCAACGTAAACAAAGTGTAGATATGGCTCGGAAAGCATCACAGACAGTCATGACTCACAGAGTTATTTTCAGAGGATAGATTTGATTTCTGCTACATTTAAGTGTGAAAAATCGCATATTCTTTTAAGGGAAACTGTCATAGGTTGAAGCAAACACCAATACAAGCAAAAACAAAAAAGGGTACTTTTCAATATTGGGATCTACATTTTAAGGCAGTCCACGCTTAGCCAACATCATAGCATTAGAATAAGTACGTACTAGAATAAGTGTACTAGAACAAAAACAAAACATTGTGCACACCACAGACTTTCACAATGAGCAAAAACATCCATTTAAAAAAAGAAACTGACGCATTTGAATATGTATCACCTTGTAACGGTGTAATGGTCTGAACAATGTCCATATATAACATCATGTGGAACAGTGTTGAAGACAACAATTTGAAAAGGGTTATAAACAGTGGTATGATTATTAAGGAAAATCATTTTACATGTTAATAAATGCACAAACTTTAAACATTGATGATATTTTGACTGGACATGGAGCAGATAAAAACCTGTCTTATTCCCTACTCTCTAACTTGTCTTTGGTCTCTTTCAGCTCTGCAATGTATGGATGATAAGGCTCCTTGTGTGAACAACGCCACATGTCTGACTTTTAGCAATGGCACTGAGTACTGCAGGTAAGATTTATTGTTCTTTGATCAAACACACACTTTCGATTTAAAGTCATCCTGTCACAGCCACAGTGTAACAACATGTACTATGTACAGCACCGACAGCAGAAACACCTCATGAGGACATTACTGGATGTGAAAGCCAGAGCAGAAATAGCTTTTTTTTATATCAACCACAGTCTGTCCACGGGACCATGAGGTTTGCTCAGGCACGGAAGAGGGAATAAAAGCCTCCTCTGTCTGACAAAGTACATCAGTACTGGGAACAAAACCAATAAACACACCTCCACCTCCATGATGTTATTTAGGACATTTCAAGGGTTTTGTTACTTACACTCTTACGTGTTGTCAACATATTTACAGCCCAATGATGTGATGTTTCTGGTGGATGTCAATAGAGCTATAAGACATTTTTACACCATACTTTATTACGGAAAAGTAACCTACTCAGTGAGATTGATGATAAAAACAATCTGAAATTTGGTTGATTAGATCTAAATGACAGGTAAGCTTATCATTATTTCCAGATTTTTTAGTGCTGGCTTTGTGTTCTTGGCGCATGCTGTGGTGGAAAATTGAAAGAACCTACATGTGAGTCTCTTCTTTGAACAGTGGTGCAGCCAGACCTTTAAAGAAAAATGCTGTCGCAGTGGCCAGTTTGATGTATGCCTTCCCTTTCTGACATCTTAGACTAGTAGTTTGTAATTAACACTAAGCTATCTTTATAATTGCACTGCCACTCCTGAGCCAAATTCCTAACGAAAACACACCATAGCTGGTTCATGAACCTGATCATATTTCATCAAATGTTATGTGAATCACACTGTGCGTCTGTTCCCAGAGCTTTAGGAATTTCAACACTCTGCTACTTGTGTAAAGAGCAAGAAAGAAGCGTTCCTCAATCATTGTTTCAGATTGTAATGTAGGTGTAAAGAGACTCCCTGTTTATGTGCATGTGTGTGAGTGAGTACGAAAGTAAGAGTTATTTAATGAGACTTTTCAAGATGAGGAAAAGCCTTGACCTACTGTGTTCATCTCTTCAGAGTTAGCTTTTGCTTTACTCTAGACAGAAAGTCTAACCTTAAAGACAACCATTTAATTGACTCGAAGTGGATGTGATATTTTGTGATCTTGCTGAATAAAGCTAACAGAGGAGCGGCTGTATTTTTAACTACTGTAGCATTGTGGGGGATAGCTGTGTGTAGTTCAAGTCAGTAATAAAGACGTGATGAATCATTGGCTCCAATGACCTTTTCAAAGTTAGCTCACGTTAGACAGCTCTGAAAGATGGAGGGAATTTATAAAGTATTTCTGGTTCTTATTCTGAATTTAAAGATGAAATTGGTGATAAAAGAGAGAGATAGCAAAGAGACTTCGTGCCCTGAAGACACACAGAGAGGAGCCTCTCAGTTTAGAAAAGTCAGCTGACAGAGCGCAGGCCTACTGTTGGACTCATTAACTCGTCAGTCAATTTTTCTGCCTTCTCGAGCAAACATAAACAGCTACACATGCCCATACTTACACACTCATATGTGCACACAAAGGACGCGCTTGCCCCTGTCTGGCCCAGTCTGCTCTGTGCTGCTGGTGAAAAGGCTCATTGTTTCAAATCGAATTATGTGTTCATTAGTCTGCTCAGTGTATTAAAGGCAGCCGGTTGTAAGTAAACAGTCACTTTGGCTTTTTGGCGCGGACCTTCCTAATTAAGTCACATGGTTTCACGCCTTGGGTTGGTCCGGGGCTTGGAGTAACTGTTTGATTAAAACACACGATTCATGTTTTCTTTCAGTGACAGTAACACCATTGAAAGCAGTAAAAACGGTTACATCTGTTGGCAAGGACAATTTTAAGGGATTCCCTGGGAGTTCACAATAATGCTTACAGTGGAAAGAAAGTGCAAATGTCTTTGTTTCATAAATGTTTTCGAGCTGATGTTGTAACAGGAGAACAATGTTCATAATTTTAAGTAATGAGAACTGTTTAGTTTATATTTTGGTTTCCACAATAAAACAGCTCCACAGTGGAGACAGGGTCTGTTTTGATTTGCAACCAAACGTGCTTCTGTGCATGTTGCCGTCCTTCAACTTGCCACTAACGCTCCCTCTGCAAAGTTCCTTTACATCTTTTAAACTCATATATGCCCTGAGCATATGTACAGACATTGTTTTTTTTTTTTCTACTTAATTATTTTAAGGGTTTGGGTTGTGTAGGATGTTTTATTAGGTGTATGTGCTTACATACATTTTAGAACAAAAACTAGGGTAAATGCAGACAAAAAAAACTATTTTTAAAATGTGTCTGTCTTTGTTCATGCTAAGGACCTTAAGGTGTGTCATTTTTTACAAAGCAATGTTGTAGAAGAGAGAGTTTATGGGAGAGGTTGACTAGCTGACTTGCAGGGCTGGCTGCAGAGAAGCAGTCAAGCCGGTGACACTGCAAGCCATCAGCCTTGGGTGTGAGAAAGAGGTGTGTTTTAAGAGAGTGTCTCTGTAGATTTGTGCATGTCACAAGTTTGATGTGGTTGGTCTTTGTAGCCGACATCCCTGTTAAGGGATGCATTACTTCTTGATGAGGTATTGGCTAGTAGAAACAGAAGTCCAGTTTGTGTGCCACAGGGGATTCCTGACCATAAGGAGTCTGACTCACTGATTTAATAACTGATCAGTTGGAACAAGAAAGAGGCAACACTATGTCGTTGAAACCCTATTTTCTCAGGAACAACATCTCTTTGTCTACTGTGGTCACAGTGAAAATGATTAACACACCTTCCCCTTCATTGCTATTTTTTTCACCTCTTTCTCCCACAGTCACTGTCATGCCTTTGTGTTTATTTAAAACATAAAGGCAAGGGAAGACAGTTACTGTGTTGTGTAGACCTGCTGCTTGTTTGATCTGACAGGTAAAATTTGTCTGCAGGGCAGACAGAGGAAGAGAAAGGGCCAAAAGAAAAGAGGATGTCTTTTTGCAGGTAATTTGAGGAGGAATCCCTTAGAGCACAGCTCTTCACTTGATGAGAGAGCAGCGAGGGGGGGCGTAAAAGAAGTGGAGCAGAGAGAGGAGTGTAATTTCCCTCTTGCTACGCCTCCTTCATCAAACTGTCATTCATCCATCCATGCCTCTGCTTCAGGGGGATGCCTCTAAACACAGCTCACCAGGCCTCTTAATCCTTGTCCCTAAAGCCTGTTATTGTTGAGATCTTTTCCCATTTGCGTTATTCTACCAATACATGCTCTTCACATTGATATCTACAGGTTTAGGGAGTTTTGTTAAGATTCTTTTGCTCTGTCTGTTGTTATCTATCAGTCTCAGCAACGTTGTGTTCTCTTGTTATTGACACAGGAATCTGTGGTGTGTTTTCTCGTCCACATCTTAGTCTCTTTTGGTTAGTAAGGCAGTATATGAAGTAGTTGGGGGGGAAAAGAAGATGCGGAAAAATGGTTTTAACCAGTAACTGGTCATCCACAGATTTTAACTGGGATTGGCTTGTGATTAAAACTAAAGTCAACTAACACTAACAGATAGTCACCCTCTGCAGTGATTTCCCACCCTTACTCTCCAAAGACTTATCTGCTTCCCACAGCTCAGCTACCAACGCTGTACATGTGGTCAAGACTGGAACAACGATGATAAGAGTTTCTTTGTGCACATGCTGGTGTATGTGCTCTGACAAGTTCTCCTGAAAAGTCAGGGGTACCTTGAGCCTAAGGCAAGTTCACATGCTGGCACAGTTCAGTTTTTATGTACGTTCAGTATTTGGGAGATAGATAGGAGCTCAATGTGTATTTTGAACATTATGAGGTTAGTACAGTAGATCATTCATCAGTGCTTGTCATGACTCTGACTAAAGAGTGTTTTTCAATAGCTATTAATCAACTATTTTTTTACCATTTTATTATTGTTTTTTTGGGAAAATTATCACAATTTCCCAGATTTTGAGCTATTGTCTGGGCTGATGGTCAAACCCAACAAATAATGTGCAATGATCTTCTAAGTAACTTTTGATATGACTATCTTTTTTTTTACACCACCTTAAATACATAGTCCCAAAAGCAAACAAACAAACAAACAAAGGATAAAACACACAGATGCACACAAGACATTTTGAGATTCAAGCCCACTCTCAGAAAGAGGAAGCCTTACAAAACAGTGAGGAATGTAGCAACCAGACCATAAACCCGCATACAGTGAGGTGACAAGTGGAACTCTGTCACACACTGATGATGACACTATGGGGTCAAGAGTACCTCAACTTTGTCAAAACTTGACATATTCTCTGGACATGCACCCAAAGGTGGACTCTAATAAGGTGAAAATTTGCTTAAACTCTTATTTTTTTGTCACTTATTTCAAAAGTGTCTTGTCACAAATATTAAATACCAGTTTCATGCAGACTTTTGAAATAAAGAAAAAATAAACTTGAGAGAATATGAAACAGTTAAGTTGCAAATCTCCTTTGGTGGGCTGCAGTTGTTAATTGTGCTAATTTCTAAATCAGTCTTGATGGAACTATCCATAGCATAAAACTCTGTAAGTAAGTTTAATGGGCTGACATACCTATGGTAGGAGACTCCTTTAAACAACCACAGAAACAGGATAATGACAGAACAGCATTGAGTGCTCGTCGTGCATGTCTCTCTGAGAGAAAATGGGTCCTGTGCTCTGTACCACAGTCACCGCTGATGAGTCTTTTTGAACATGTTTCTAAACACAGTCTCAGATTTTACCACATGTCCCGAGTTCGGACTCCACCCTGCTCTGCACTCCTTTATTCAGTCAACACAGATGCTTTTCAGTCAGGCTGTCTGGCTTCCATTTCTCTCCATCTATCCATCTATCTCTCTCATTACGTTTCTGGCTTTAACTCCCAGCTCATTGCACTCTTTACTCAATCTGTCTTTTTTATGCCTTTCTTTCTATCTTTGACATCCCTCTTCCACCTCCCTCTTCTCACATCCTCTATGATGTTTTTTTGCTACCTCTTCTTGTCTTTGAAAATGAGAAAAAAA